AAGAATCAGATGAAGTCATAAGCAACTAAATTGAAGACTAAGCACATTCTAATAGCCGAACCCATGATTAGATTTCAACTCCATACCTTACACTTTGCCAACTGTCACTTTTTAAAAACAAATATATAATGTTACATTTGAGTGCGAGTTCTACGCTCCACTATTAAGATCTGTTTTAGTTGGCAATAGCTGACAACATACATTATCTCACTGATTTGTAGTGACGGTCATTAGAGAATATTTTGTCTTGTGATGTTGAAAAGAGATGTAAGTATAGGGCCACGAATGATTGGGATTCAGTAAATAAGGCTGCAATTTACGTTCAGGATTTGGATTACATCATAAACCACACAAGCAAAATCTGACAGCGTTATCAGTTTCATCTAAACCTGAAGATTAAATTTCAAACTCACACCTACTCTCTATTAGCTATCAGTTTCTTTCGTAACACACATTGTGGGCTGAAAGAAAGATTTGTCTGTTTCACATTCTCAGGACATCCCAAAGCATTTTCCAACCAATGAATTACTTTTCAAGAGGAGTTTCTGTTGGAACACAGCAACTAATTAGCACACAGCAAATTCCTACAACCTGTAGTAAGGCTGATGGGATTACATCTTTTTCAGCAAAGACTGGCTGAAGGATAAATATTGTCAAGAACTCCCCTGCTGTTCCTTGAAAATGCACTACTCTCTAGGAGGAAAAAACTCCTTCACATCTCAGTTTTAAGTGAATGCCCCCTTATTCTGTAATTATGTCCCCTTGTTTGAGATTCTCCCACAAATTGAAACATTTTCTCAACATCTACTCTATTAAGCACCCTCAGAATCTTGTATGCTTCCATAAGATCAACCCTCATAGTTCTAAACTATGTTAAACTACTGTTTAACCATTTTTGACAAAGTAAACCCCTTCATCCTAGGAAGTTGCCTTGCAAATCTTTTTTGAACTACTTCCATTACTAGTATGTACTTAAAAATGGGGACCAATACAGTTACAGTCTCAACAACACACTATACAGTTATAACAAGACTTCCTATTTTTAATCTCCAAACCCTTAGCAATAAAGGCTAAAATCCCATTGCCTTCTTAATTACACGTTTTGTGAGTCATTTACAAGAACACCCAGATTCCTCTGCACTGCACTTTTTGGAGTTTTTTGCTGTTTAAATAATAGCTTTCCATTTGATTTCTCCTCACAAAGTACATAACTACACAATTTCCCATCTGCCAGGCTCTTGCCCACTCACTTAATCTATCACTCCTTGTAGATTCCTCATGTCCTCATCACAAGATGCCCTCCCATCTATTTTTGTATCACCAGCATATTTGGATACAGTCAGAAGTCGCACGACACCAGGTTATAGTCCAATGACGTGATTTCAAATAAACCTTTTGGGCTGTAACCTAGTGTTGTGTGACTTCTGACTTTGTCCACCCCAGTCCAACACCGGCACCTCCACAGCATAATTGGATATATCTTCTTGTGCAATAACCTTCAATGTGGCATTTTATCAAATACCTTCTGGAAATCCAAACACATTACATCTACTGGTGCCCTTTTATCAACTCTGCTTCTTATATCCTTGAGGAGCTCTTGCAAATTTGTCAAGCATAATCTCCCTTGAACAAAACCACATTGACATTGTTTGATTGTGCTAAGCATTTCCAAGTGTCCTTTTTAAATGGAAGGTAAAGGTAAAGTCGTCATAGTCCTACCAGACCACCGGGCTGCTCTCTCATTACAGAGAGAGAGAGACAGAGAGAGTGAGAAATGACTGGCGGTGGTTTAACGTGAGGTTCACCACGCCTCCAACGAGGGGAGAGGTTGAGAAGGACAGTCCTTCATGGTAACCTCAGCCAGTGTGGGAATTGAACCCGTGCTGTTGGCATCACTGTGCTTCACAAACCAGCTATCCAGCAAACTGACAAATCCAGTGAAGAAGAAAGTTGCTCTATAAGCATGGAGTAAGATCATCAAAAGGGATGCCTAATGGACCCAAACATTTAAAGAAAGAATATTGATTGAGCATTTCGATCGACTGCCAAAAGACACAAAAAAAAGTTCATTTTTGGCACTGTGATTCAGTTTGTGTTTACTACATCGCATCCAACGAAGCCTCCCCTTACCAACTAGACTGGCCATGTTAACGGTCTTAAATAATTGGGCCATCCTCATGGTTGAGCCTAAAAAGTGAGAGTGACTAAACCCTTTTGAAACAGAGAGTTGGGGAAACTTGCAATTACATTCTCCAGATGTGCGTATATGAATATGCAAAATTCTTTGAGGACTTTGACAGTGTGGATGAGGAAAAGTTGTTTCCCCATGTGAGAGTATCTAGGGCCAGAGGGCAAAATCTCAGAATGAGGTGTCATACTTTTAAGACTGAGGTGAGGAAGAATTTCTTCTCTGAGAGGGTTGTGAATTCTTCGCACAGACAGCTGTCAAGGCCGGACCATTAAGTATATTCGAGGCTGAAGTAGGCAGAGTTTTAATCAGGAAGGGTTTTAAGGATTCCAGGGAAAAGACAGGAAAATGCAGTTGAGAATTATCTGATCAACCTCAATCTCACTGTATGGTGGAGAGACTTGATGGGCTGAATGGCCTCTTTCTGCTCCTATGTCTTGTGGACCTATTAGTCTCCAGTGATCACTGGACCCAAATGCAAAGCACTAACTCAGACTAACGCTTACCTCCCTGGCTCCAAAGTTTGACTCTAGCTAATTGTAGTACCCAACACATAATTTGGAAGCATTTTCTTTAAATTTGAAGCAAATTTCTGTGTGACGAAGCTCCAGAAGCCTTGACTTTGCTGTTGCAATGTCATCTGGAAGGTCTCAGGTAAAGAACAAAATCTTCAGTATTTCTAGCCTGATCATCAGAAATGGTGTCAGATTTCACAATACCACAGTGGCACACATAGTTCCCTTAGTGGTTCTGCTAAATGAAGCAGCGATCTTTTTAGGAAAAGGGTGAGCTTCCTTTTCATTTACAAGAGGGAATCTATAAACATTCATCTAGAACTTTGAAGGTAATGAGATAATGATCAAATTATCTGTGAACCAATATAATTGAATCATGCAACAGTACAACATAGCAGAGTGAGAACAGAAACAGCCAATTTCTAAAAATGACAAGTTCCCTATCTTGGTCATGTCCATAGATAGACTGGAGTTTACATCCGTCTCTACAGAGTCAGGCAGGGTAACTTATAGATTTGGTCATCTAGTTACAATAACATCTTTAGAACAAGGGTTGCCCAGTCCAGCATTACTAGCATTTGAGGATTGGTTAGGTAACAAGAAATAGGGACTCAACAACTCTATCTATAGGTACATACACTAAATGACTTGGATGAACAGACTCAATGTGTGGTTGCTAAATTTGCTGACAATACAAAGATATCTGAGAATAATTTGTGACAGGGACATTAGAAGTCTGCAAAGGGGCATGTACGTGTAAAGTTAAGTGAATAGGCAAAGATTTGGCAGTATAATGGGGAAAATCTGGGCTTGTTCACTTTGGCAAGAAGAATAGAAGAGCAGAATATAATTTAAATGGAGAGAGACTGCGATACAGAGGGAATATGTGTACCATGGTACATGAATCACAAAATATGATACAGATACAGCAAACTATTAAGAAAGAAGATGACATTTATTGAAAAGGGAATGAAATACAAAAGTGGAGAAACTTTGCTACTGTTCCCTCCCCTCTGTATAGATCAGTCTCTTACAGGACAATGCATTGGTGAGATCATGTCTGGAATATCGTGCACAGTTTTGGTCTCCTTATTTATTAAATGAGGTATTTGCATTTGAAGGAATGCAGAGAAGATTCTCTTGACTGACTCCTGGGATGAAGGGGTTATCTTATGAGGAAAGGTTAGACAAATTGAGCCTGTATCCATTGAAGTTTAGAAGAACGAGTGGTGTTCTTCTGAGGGGGCCTGACAGGGTGGATGCTGAAAGGACATTTCCCCTTGTGGAAGAGACTCAAAGTAGGGGACACCATTTAGAAACAAGGGGTCTCCCATTCCAAACAAAGACGAGTAGAATTCTGTCAGCGGGTTATTAATCCAGAAATCTCTTCCCCAGATAGCAGTGGAGGCGGGGTGATTGAATGTTATTAGGGCTGAATTAGATAGATTCTTGATGGATGAGGGAGTCAAGAGGTATGGGTAGATAGGAAAGAAGAGGCCACAATCGGATTAGCCACACTCTTATCAAATAGCAGAACATACTCAAGGAGCCAAATAACCTACTCCTGCCCCTAACTCATATCCATCTGATTCCCACAAAGAATTCTAATAAAGCAACATCAGTACAAGAGTTAAACCAGTACCTTTGGTTCTGCTTTATCAATACATTAGAACTCATTCTGGGGCACTAAAAGAGAGCTCGCTTGAAGCATTCCCAACCAACTTGTAGTGTCTAAGGTGTCAGCTGGTGATTCACCTCATCCTGAACTCAGAAGGTTCTGAGTTCAATTCACACAGAAGCCTTAAGCTCAGACTTTCTAGTGGCAACCCAATGGACTGCTGCATTATCAGGTCGGGATTGTGCTCCTGAAATGGCAAAAGGATTAACAGGACATCACAAATAAAGAAGTGGGTGTTTGTATCTAGCCTTTGAACCCAGGGATGATAAGTGTGAAATCACTCTGAGATATCCATCACGTTCGATTGTACATACAATATAATTTCATTCAGAAGGAGATCTTTCTCCTCAACCACTGTTGTCACTGATGCCACATACCAATGTACACAATAATATTCATACATAAAGATCAATGATGGCAATGTCCTTACTACACGTATATTACAAGATGATCAATCGCCAACAAATTGCCAGTAACATCCTTGTGCGTTATAATGCATTAAACCTTGCAAATGAAGAGGTCCCTATTGGAGTACAATCCAGGTCACTTTTGCATCTGTTTGTATTATTCTAAAAGGTCCACCTTTGGAATTTCGGAGAGACAGAGCAGTGAAACTAACCTTGGAACGGGTTCCCAGACGAAGTTTGAGGCAGCGAACTTTCTGCAGCCTGTCCTCCAGGATAAAACTTCTGGCTGTAATATTTGGGTTTAAATGTGAACTGTTGAGATTGGCCACGTTGGACAAGCATCATCAGTGGTTGAGACGGAAGAGGCACCATGCTGACAGAGAAAAACAATTGGAATAGTTAAATAGAAAAATACCTACAGCACAGTCATTGTGAAATACAACAGCATTTAAACAAGTAACAAGTAAAAGAGCTTCTAAAGATAGAATCAATTTATACACTATTGAATCATAAAATGTTTACAGTGCAGAGGTACACTCTGTTCATCATATCTGTGCCAGCTCTGTAAGAGCAAATCTGCAATTTCCACTTCCCCCACACACTGTCCTGTTACCCTCAACGTACTCTCAGTACAAATCATTACCCAAATGCCTTTTGAAAGCCTTCACCACCCTCTCAGGCAATGCACTGCAGCTCAAGTCATATTATGCTGCTGTTGTGTTCCACAAAACCGATTGTTATTTAATTGGGATACTAGGTATTTGATTGGGGTACTGCAGAATGGCTGATCCCTGAGGTAACTGTGTACTCAAATTTGAAACAACCACTTGGGAACGTCCTCAAAGGGCACTCGATTCACCGGCACAACTTCAACAGCTGGGGAACACAAACAGCTGGGGAACACAAACAGCTGGGGAGCACAAACAGCTGGGGAACACAAACAGCTGGGGAACACAAACAGCTGGGGAACACAAACAGCTGGGGAACACAATCCATACACAATCCATGAATTTACAACAAAGTTATGGAGGATGAATGGAATCAGCCCCACTCACCTCAGAGAAACCACAGTCTACACCTTGTTGCTGAGAAAGGAGCCAGAATAAAATTTACACTTATTGCTGTGGCAATTGCATTTTCCATTGTTACATTTTTTTTTTAAAAATGACATTCATTTATATAGCACCTTTCACAACCTTTATACGTCCCAATGAAGTACATTTAGATTGCCGCCCACAGTTGAAATGTCAGAAATGAAGCAGCCAATGTGCACCCAGTTCAATTCCATAAATGACAATGTGAGATAAGGTTTTAGTGATGATCACTGACAGAAAACATTAGCCAAGGAATAAACCTCCTGCACTTCTATGAAATAGCATTGTGTGATTTCTTTACACTGTTCTTAGCAGGCCAGACAATGACGCAGTTTAACATCAAAAAACAGGCATCTCCAACAGAACTCCCTCAGTATTGACTAGATGGATGCATTCAGGTTGCTGGAGTGGTGTTCAGATGTGTGTGCGTGCTACTGTTGTGAAAGCATACTTTACATTAAAAAGACTTTCTTTGAACTTATTGCTGGAAACCCCCAATTAAAGCTTTACAAAAAGCTAAAGTCACATTCCAATTACGTTAAATCAGTCTCAAAGGTGGCTGAACATTTGCATCACTGCATCTCCTATATTCCGAGGTCATTGAGATGGAGGTAATCAGTTTACAAAGCTGCATCAAGAACATCTACTTTGCAAAATGGTGACTGGGGCCATCTCTTATCACCCATGAGCAAAGCATCGAGACAATCAACTGTATATAAAACATTATACCTCATCACTAGGATAATATGACCCTGACTATGACAGGAATGGGCCTGTATGTAATCTAAACACATGACCTAGGCAATTAGAATCCACCACACATGACCACACTTGGGTGACTGGGCAATCGGAAAGAGAGAGAGAGAGAGAGACTGGCTTGTGACACTTCATGTGCTTAAGCAACTGCTCTTCTGCAGGAGTTAGGGGACATGCAAATGAAATGCTGAAAAAGCAAGATCCTAAGTGGATTCTCTCTCTCCCTTTCTCCACACAAGGTGCAGGGTTTGAGCCCTGTCTGCTATTTGATTAGGCATGTGCTATGGGCAGAGAGCAAAGAATCAACCTAGCAGCTGCTGTCTCAGGAAGATGTGATGAATCTACTGTCAACATCTTCACCACCTCAGCGCCAAAACCAAGTTCAGCCTGAAGCCAGCCAAACCACCAACCTTCAGGAACCATAAACCCCTTTAATGTTACTGGAATTTACATCTACATTGCTCAATCCAACCTCTCACTCTGTAATCTGTGTGTGTGCATTGTGTGCATGCATATGTGTGTGTGTGTGTGTGTATGTGTGTGTGCACGCGTGTGTATATGCATGTATGTGTGTATGTATGTGTGTGCGTGTGTGCATGCATGTGTGTATGTATGTGTGCATGTGTATGTGCACACGCATGTGTGTGTGTGCGTGTATGTGTGTGTGCCTGCATGCGTGTACATGTGTGTGCATGTGTGTGTGTGTGTGCCTGTGTGTGTATACATATGTGTGTGCCTGTGTGCGTGTACGTGTGTGTGTGTGTGTGTGTGTGTGTGTGTGTGTGTGTATGTGAAATATGACTTTTTTATCATTTTAATTGGACTGGTTAAGTACAATAGATACTATTACTCTTTTGTTAAATAACTGAACAAGTCCTGTTGGTGTATCTTTTACAGTCACAGCATTGAAACTGTTTAAACCATCATTGAATTGGCAAGCATAACCTCTTTTTCTAAAACAAAAAAATGCAATCAAGTAAAGAGTGGGAAAAGGGAGAAACCATCTTACCCATTCTCACTTGATCATAATGGCTCCCTACCAATCACAAGCTGATCCACACTTTAAACAGTGGAGGATCTAGTGAGTTTCAGACACAGCAGCAGTTTGGAAGAGTTACAATCAGAGGTAGGTTGTAAGGGCATGGAGAAACAGCATAAAGAAAGTGACAGTGACAATGCATTTAGGCCGTTCAAATTGCCCTGGATTACTGCCTCAGAAACTACATCGAAACCCACCAGAACCAGCAGGATCCGTTCCAGCAGATCATGTCACTGGGACTTTCAAGAGGGTAAACTAATGCAATGTCAGATAGGATCAGGCGCCATTACAGGCTCAGTTAAAATAACTTGCCACTACATCCTCCAACTCTGCCCACTCACCAGGTAGCTCCATGAGGCAGTTTAGCGACAAACTTCCCAGACTTACCGATTTGGCGTATAGACTTTGGAGGTTGATCTTTGTCACAGAGGCAGAGGCGCATGTTTGATCTCGAGAGTACTGTTTGGTGGCCACCTGGGTTCCCCACAAGTGCATCAGCTGTGGCACAGTTGGCAGCACCATCGTCTCTGTGTCGTAGGGTTTGGGCTTCAAATGTCACCCCACAATGGAAGCATGAAGAATCGAGTTTGGCATGCAGGTACAGGACTGAGGGAGTCTGCTCTCTCAAAAAGATGTGCCCATCCCACAGCCCCATTTGGGAGGGTTAGCTCAGTTAGCTGGGTCACTGGTTTGTGATGCCAACAGCATGGGCTCAATTCCTGTCTGAGGTCACCGAGAAGGCCCTGACTTCTCAAACCCAGGCCTTGCCTGAGGCAGGCCAGCCCTCATGTTTCACCTCCAGTTGTCTCTCCTTTTCTCGCTGTGATGAGGGTGCTGCCTATGCTGGCTCTCGATATTCACTGCCCACCCTCCACAGAAAGCTGGTGGCCTCCCGTCAGCGGGGACTGAGCCACTTCCATCAAAGTAGTCCAGCACGGCATTAACTGAGTTGTCAGCTTCATTTTCTCTGGTCAGAGGCTGGATATCCGCCCCAGCTTTCCCCACACCACACCCCCCTCCCCATCCCAGTGCAGAGATGACCTGGCAGCTATGGCCAAATTGTACTTTGTTCACATTCCGACTCTCCAGAGGTTGTCTCTCTGTATTGTCGATTCTCAAGATGGTAGAGGTCACCTGATATCCTGGAGAGGGGCCACCTCGGGAAAGACTTCCCCCGCACACTCGGTTCTGGAACGTACAGTGCTGGGACACCCACTTAGCTCTCACGTCACGTTACGAAGCCCGGGAGAAAATCCAGGTTTGAGGCTAAAATCGCCTGTGCATGGCCTACTTTCCGCAAAGTGAATGATATCAAAAGTCACCTGCTTGAAGATTGGCACTCAGTTAAAACTGGGGCCAATGATCCATGATCCATGGGTCATGCTCTGTACCCCAGAGAGAAACAACACCATTATAGAGAGACCAAATGTGACACAAAGTACTATTGTGCATTAGCAGTTAAGCCCATATTAATGTTAAATAAAAACCTCCACCTGACTTCCACCATTTTTACTACTTGTCTTGTGTGATAATCAACAAAATATAAGGATCTGCGGAGTGTGATTTGTATTCTCATTTACATTCCTGACTGTAATTCATTCATAAACTATCATAACTAGCCCTGTCCAGGTATACAAATTGTAGATCATTCCCTTTATACCTAAGCTGTTTGCTACCAGTATTGATATAACACATTAAGAAGATTTTCAGGTATGACCTGTAATAAATGCGGCTTCTACTTTGAATAGGTTCCACCAGATCTGTTCATCTTGACACAAGAGATGGGCAGCTAGATTTTCTGGACACAGAACTCCTGGACACAGGATCCCAGAAAGGAAGAGGGAAGTACCTGTCATTGTGAAAAGCAGTGGAAAAGCGTACTGGAGCAGCCACCAAGCAGGATGCAGAGGAGAAGTGGTTTTCTGTTTGTGAAGATCTAAGGTTCAAAGAGTCACTAGAGAGAGGCTTGGTGCTGGAAGTCAGTTCCAAGATACTCAGAAGACTGAGTGGAGCAGTTTTCAACGGTGCTGGACGTTAGAACTGGAGTAGCAGGGCAAAGGGAGACAGCTTGAAAACTATGAGGAGTTTGGAACAAAATTATCATAGCTACATATTTTGTATCTAAGATTTGTGCCTAGGTGTTTTGTACCTAAGATGGCACAGTGAGGGATGACATTGTAAACTCCTGTACTCCTGTACTTGAGTACACATGACAATAAACCTAATTCTAATTCTAACACACAAATCATGAAGTATTTTCAGTTGTGTTACTGAAGAAGTACCTATAGTGTGTTGCATTATTTGCCAAATAAGTGTGTTTGGTCTGTGTTGATTTTAATTTATTTGTTAAAGGAAAAGTTTTAAATCATGAAATCTTGCATAAGTTATACTTCCCTACTTACATGCGAAACATTTGAAGCATGCAATGTTTATAACTAGTGAAAACATGAAATGATCTGATTACTTTTTCATACGTGTATTATA